TAATAAATCATAACTGCCTTTCATTATACATCCTATCAATTTTGGCTTCAGTGATACTCTGTTCTGGATGTTGCTGTGTTCACTTTCCTTCTTAATTTCTTAACATTGTCTTTCTGTGCTAATTACCTTGTCCGCCCTTGTTTCCCAAGGATGAATATTTGCAGCTGTGGTAAATACCCAAAATTCTGTGCCAAAATGTAAACAAAGCTGTTAATGCATCCAAATTAGCTGACATCAAGCAACAGCAACTGCTCCCTTGCAGTCTTTGTGGCAAAGACAACAAACTAAGGAAATGGTTAGTATAAATTGAACTCTAAATAAAATTACAGTTTAATCTATCCCTCTGTAAGAATGAAAAAGAAGGAAATGGAAAGAAAGAGACAAGGAAATTTGGGGGGGAAGGGAGAGGAGGGAGGAGGAACGAGTGAAGTTGTACAAAATCGTAACATCATCCCCTAAGTGCAATTTTGTTTTGAGACAGTGCTCATGGGAAAAAGTGACAAAGCAAAGAAGAGAGGAACAACAAAAGATGTGCTGAGAAGATGCTCTCTCTTGTTCTAGGGCATTTAAGATCTTGTTCCTATGGAGGTAGTTTATAGATGTCATTTCTCAACCTTCCACTGTCTCCACAGTAAAACCTGAAAAGGACTTTCTTTATAAGTAAATTATCAGGACAAAAAAGGGCTGTGAGAGTAGTGACAGAGTGACATGATCAACAAATGCCTCTGCCAGCAAATAAAAAACAGGAAGTGAGGGAAACCTTTCTAAAACCAGACTTCCTGGAAAGACTTGCAGGCACCACCAGAAATCATGAAATAGAAGATCTGGTTTATATTGTGGCTTGAGCTGCAATAAGCAATAAGCAAATAGAATTCTAGACTTTAGCACAGGTCATATTTTTGGTCACTGAGGATGTTTCTTGTTGCAGTATACTTACACGTTACTCAACACACAGTTAATCTAGGTGAAGATTCATTTAATAACAGCATATATCCTATTTTAGCAGTGAGACCAGCTCTCTTCTAGAAAATCAAGCACTGTTTTGGTGGCCTGAAAGATCAATAACCTAGACTTAGTGGCATCACTTCTGAAATAACAAATAAGATAGAAACATTAGCCATGCTAAAATCTCCCTTCTTGAGTCTACAAAATTGCAGTCTTTCATCTCATCTTTTTTCTTCCATGACATTCCATGGTTTCTTTTATATTTCCCTCAGCTCCTTGTGGTACAGGCATGGTAGAGCTCCATAGATGAAGCATAAATTGTTGAATGGGATATGGGCTAAAATCCTGCCTATGTCACATGACAACAAAATCACATATTTTTTCACTCTTCTGATCTTTTCAGGTCGTTTACCACCTCACTAGCTGCTAGAACCACCACCAGTCTCCCTGGGAAGCCTGTACCTGCAAGGGAGATGTTGCATAACCCTATAGATAAGTGACTGCACTTGGGCTCAGAAGACTTCAGGTCAGCCTCCAGAGATAGAGGTACCACACAAACGTGGATTTCTACTCCTCATGCATAGTTCAGTACACCTCTGTCTTTTCTCTTCCTTCTCCTAATTGCCTACTCACTCAGTTTCTGTCTCTCCCTGTCATCTGAGAGTTTCCTGGACTTTCTGTAATTTATTTATTTTTTTTCCCAGAACAAGACCAATATTTTTACCCAAGAGGGTGGTGAGGCACTGGAACAGGTTGCCCAAGGAGGCTGTGGATGCCCCATCCCTGCAGGCGTTCAAGGCCAGGCTGGATGTGGCTCTGGGCAGCCTGGGCTGCTGGTTGGCGACCTGCACACAGCAGGGGGTTGGAACTGGATGAGCATTGTGGTCCTTTGTAACACCGGCCATTCTATGATTCCATGATTCTATGATTCTATGAATATCCTTACTGGGCAATTAGGTACCTAATTGAGAAAAACATGCACTAAACCCAGAGAAGGTTTCTCTGTAGGTGTAGTCTGAAGGATTAGTGCATAGATGAACAGCTAGTAGCCAAGAGTAAATTCGTTTTCCATCTCTGTTAGACCCGTGTCTGATTCCAAAATTGGCATAAACTGCTCTCAGCCCTATCTGATGTGTGCAAGCCATACCTGATACCTCTGAATCCAACATGCCACACATGTTTGTTTGAGCAAGTTGCACGCATACCTGCTCCTGTTTTGTTGAAATGTGAAATTAGAGGTCTGTGTTCATGATATATGTTTTTTAATGTAAAGTTATTTAAAAAACGAAAAACAAGAAAACAGTTTTTTTTTGCAAGGCTATGTGGAAGCGCAGAATTTCTGTGCAATATCCATTGCAATAATTCATTCTGATGTAGTTTTCACACTTCACTGGAATCCCAAATAAAATCTCACTCCACAAGAGTCCCAAGCCTTTAATTATTTCAAACGTCAAACATCTTGCTATGTAGCATTAAAATATATTTGTGTTTGAATCGGATTCATTTGCCCCAGTCACGACACATTTTTGCTTCAAAGCAAAATCCATGATCAAGTGCCAGCAGTGTAAGCAGTTACCATTTGTCAGCTGAAGCGCACTAACAACATGAGCACTTTTTGGGTGTTGACCCATTTGACTTTCACAAACAATTGGAGCATTTCCAGGTGCTGCTCCTCTTCCACCAGAAGCCATCGTCACTGTAGAGCAGTTGGGTAAAAAGAACATGGTCTGTCATGCCAAGAGATTATGAATATGTTTTGTTTTGTTTTTCTCATGAAATTTTCCCAACTCAGATTTCAGAGGGTTCTCGTTTGGGGATGACAGCTGCTTTCTAGACAGGTGACTCCCCACATCCCATGAGCACATGCTTGGAAAGCACAGCATCATTGCTAGAGACCTGTTGTAATACATATGCCAATATATGGGAGGATAATACTGACTCTAGGATCTAAGTGGCTAAGACTCTTTTTACTGAGGAGTACCAATTCATTATCTTAGAAGGAAAATAGAATCAGAGACAACTCATTTTTTGTAATGACTTAATTTTTGAAAATTGACATTTTCAGTATAAAAATTACAGATTTAGGGGAAGCTAAAATATTATAGCCAATTTAATCCACCTCCTAAAAGCACTTTTTGTCATCTTTGATTACTTGCTGTAGCTGTAACATCTTTTCTAGCTCTATCTTTTTTTGCCTTCATGACGAAAAATAAGAAAAAAAAAAAAGATATTTTCTGATTAAAATCCCACAAGATAAGGGTATCTGTAATGATGTTTCCAAGGCAGCAATAACACAAATAATTTGCAGAAGTTGTTAGGTCTCCAATTTCATTTTCCCTTATAGCTTAACAAATTTGGCTGATGCTAAGAAGCCAAGCTGAGAATAGTTCAGTCTGACAAAGGACAGATTTCATGTTTAAGTCTATTTTAAATGACGCTGTTCCTACTCATGCAGCCTGTTTGCATTTTGTTCCACAAATGACTAAATGTTACTGCACCAAATTCATCACATGGTTCTGCTAGCTTCTCTTCATCTGTTCATCAGCTCCTATACAATTTGTAATTTAACTGTGATTTATGGTGTTGTGTGAGGTAAGGACTAACAATCATAAAACCATAGAATCATAGTTTGGGAAGAGCAATAAGATCATGCAATCCAGCCAGCAACCCATGTCTGTGACCCCGTAGGCCATGTCACTTGATGACACATCTCCATGGTTCTTGAACACCTCCATGCATACTGACTCCACTATGTTCCTGGGCAGCCTGTGCCAATGCATCACCACTCTAAGAAGAAATTTTTCCTAATACCCAGCCTCGACCTTGTCTGAGACTTAAGGCCATTACCTCCCATCCCACTGCTGTTACTGTGGAGAAGGGGTCAACCCCCCACCTTACCACAACCTCCTTTCAGGGAGCTGGAGAGAGCAGTAAGGTCTCTCTTGAGCCTCCTCTTCTGCAGATGAAACAATTCTGGTTTCCTCAGCTGCTCCCCATATAAGAATTGCTCACCAGATCCTTCACAGTCCCTTTGCCCTTCTTTGGACACAGTCCAGGACATCAATGTCCTTCTTGCAGTGAGGGTTCAAAACTGAACACAGCACCTGAGGTGTGGGCTCACCAGTGTGATTGAGCAGACTTAGTTCCCATTACCACCTTGTTTTCTTGCAGCCTTGGAAATGGTCCTTGAACAGATACCCTTAAGAAGCAAGCACTCCCCTCTGCATATTCTTACGTAAGAAAATTCTGATGCCTCTTAAACTACAACTTCTGGGTAAATCTGATGGTGTTCTGATGTCAGGTAAGTGTCTGCTTTCAACTGTGTTACATGAAGTTGATCAGAGGGCTGGAGGACTTTTGTGAAGAGAGGTTGAGGGAGTTGGGCTTGTTTACCTTGGAAAAGTGGAGGGTCTGGGGAGACCTCATCGAAGCCTTCCAATACTTGAAGGGAGCTTATAAGCAGGAGGGGGAGCAAGTTTTTCAAAATCTGATAGTGATAGGACAAGGGAGAAAGGCTTTAAACTAAAAGAGAGGAGATTGATGTTAGACATAAGGTGGAAATTTTTTACTCAAAGGGTGGTGAGGCCATGGCACAGCTGCCTAGAGAGCTGTGGCTGCCCCATCTCTGGAGGTGCTCCAGGCCAGATTGGATGGGGTCCTGGGCAGCCCGAGCTGGTGGGTGGCAACCATGGTAGGGAGGTTGGAACTAGGTGATCTTTAGGTTCTCTTCCATCATAAGCCTTTATATAATTCTATGACCTCCACACTGTAAAAAAGCAAAAAGTTTGGAAATAAAACAGATTACATATAAGCAAGTTGTCTGGAGCGCAGGAAATTGTGGAGATTATTTGTACCTGAGCTGGAACAGCTATTTCAGTAATTACTCTTCACTGGTTTATGTGCCCCCCTAAAAACCCGACATCCATTTCTTAATCTTTGTGATTTCTTAAATAAATCATCCTAAATATGCCAGGACTGGTGTGTACAGTAAAATTTAATGTGAAGTTTCATGCCCTTCAGTTGGGAATGGGAGATAATGACTGTGGTACAGAATGACCCTCAGCAAGTTTGTAGATGACACCAAACTCTGCACTCTACACACCCAAGGGACGGGATGCCATTTAGGTCAGGGAACGGGGCTCTGAGGATCTGATGGAGCTGTGAGTGTCCCTGTTCATTGCTGGGGCGTTGGACTTTAAGATGAACCTATTGGTCCTATAGATGACCTTTAAGGGTCCTTCCAACTCAAAATATTCTATGACTATGATTTTATGATCATTTTTAAGGATGCATTTTTATGATGCCTATATTTTTGATGCATTCTCTAGCATAATTAGGAACTAGTTTCAGCTTTACCTCTGAATGTGTAAGCTATTTCTCTGCAGTGAATTCACAGGAAGTATGAGTTGTCAAGTTTTAGGCTACTACTAATTGGTGGTTTTTTTCCCCTACTTCCTGTAACTGTAGTGCTTTATTAGAAGAAACGTTCACTATGTGTGGATGCAGAGTGGTACACACTTTGTATTCTTTATGCTAGTTATACTAAACTGTACTAATGAAGGGAATGCTCTTTTTCAGGACATTCATGACATGATATCCCACTGCCTGCAACTACTATCCTTTCTGTCTGTGGCCTGCACATATATGTGTGAAGCAAAACTCTGCAAAGTAAAATTGATTGACCAGCCTTGGCTGGCATTTGCTTCACTGCTTACATGAAAATGAAACTAAAAGAGGTAAATGGACATATAATTCATGCTTTTTACTATTGTTACGTGCCAGGAATGTATTTGGCAGTTGTTCCAGTGTTGTTCCAGGTCAGAAATTTAGGAGGTTTTTTGTAATTCTCATCTCAGGATTACAGGCCATCAGAGTGCAAAGCCTTCTATAAAGTGATTCCAGTAAGGGAAATTTTATGTGAGGTTACATAGCAACTTACATTTAATCAAGTAGCTGCCAAGACTCAGGTTATTCCACTGGGGAAGAAAGAATAAGGAGTCCTTGTGTGGAATTCAGTTTGAGATTAAGATATCAATATTTAGGCAACTAGATGCAGATATCTACAAATAAATTAGGCCTTTAAACTCCCATGATAGTCATTAAGAACTGAGTCAACATTAATCAGTAAAGTTTACAGCATGATTCAACTGGCAAACAGGTTGATAGTTTCTGAGGAGCTGAATAACCTTCCAAGATCCATTGACTCTATTGACCTTCTCAATTAACCATTTATTAGTCCGTTGACATCAGCGTGGTTTCATATACCCATCTCATATAAAAAAAAGTCAAATTTAAAAAGCATAAATAAAGGAACTCAACTGACTTGTCTTAGAAGGTTTCATTGGCCATTTGAAAATAATGCTATAGGTTATCTGGAATATCCAGACAAGTTGACAGACAACATGCAAAAATTTTGGACTGGCGGCTACAATCATGTGGGAAACTCAGAGATATCTATTATAAGACTGGATGCCTAAACAAGGCAAATAAATAAAATAAGATCTTAAAATCTTTCTCTGTCCTTCCTCCCCTCTATTCCTTATGCTCATAATAGAGAGGAGTTGAAAACTTATGCTTGCTCCAAGGAACAGAGGATTTTGCAGTTGCACTGCAAGAACTTTTTGTTTGCTTTTTAAGAAACACTGCAGTACCACAGTGAAGGAACACTTTCTTTGGTATCGTCTTAGGTTTGCTGTCTGTCAGGGCCCTACATCAGGAGGAGGATACTGGGTCTGATAAGGCTGGAGGATTGCTATCCACTACTGCTCTTTCAGGCTGGGTCACGGGAGGCTGCAATTAGGAAACAAAATATTTAAAAAGACTTTATGTACTTTGGGAAGATGTTGGAGGGATTGGGAGCCCTGGTAGCGTTATCCTGATTCCTCCCACTTGGAGACTGAAACTCAGACAGAAGGAGAAAAACAAATCAGTTGAATGAATGGCTGCATGTATGGTGTCATACTCATGGTTTCAAGTACATCTTGGATGCACCTTTGAGAAACCAAGCCTGTTGGTGTTGGATGGAATGCAACTGACCAGGAGGTGCAAGATTATACTGGACAGCAACCTGGCTGGGCTTATCACCAGAGCTTTAAACGAGATTTGATGGGGGAAGGTGTTGTAATGCTGAGTGACTGAGAAGAGCCATGAAACACTGTCATTTTAGGAAGTAATGCAGAAAAAGCTCAGATTTGTCCCAGAGGAATCTGGGAGAGCTTCCACAAGAAGGTAACACAGATTATAGCCCAACTAAAGTGCCTCTACACCGTCGCATGCAGTCTGGGAAATAAACAGGAGTTGGAAACCGTGGTGTAATTTGAAAGCGATGACTTAATTGCTATCATAAAAGTCTCTGAGAAACAGCAATAATAATAAACAGGGATAAAATTAGGGACAAGAACTATAAAGGGCATCTGGTGATCAGAGTTTACGATTAGGCTGTCTGATCCTGATGGGGATTTCAGCCACTCAGAGATCGGCTGGGAAAACAACACAGTGGCATGCAAGAAGTCCATGGTACTCTTGGAGTTCATTGAAGATTACTTCCTAGTCCAGATACTGGACAGACCAGGGGTTGGAGACTGAAAGAAGAAGTTATTGACACTGCGTCATGGGCTGCATCAACAGAGAGATGGCAGAGGGCAGAGAGGGGATTGTTCTCTGCTCTGCCTCACGAGGCCCCGTTGACAGTATTGCATCCAGACCTGGAACACCCAGCACAGGAGGGACGTGGGTCAAAGATGATCAAAGGGCTGAAATACCTCTCCTATGAAGAGAGTTTGAGGTGTCCAGGCTTGTTCAGCCTGGAGAAGAGAAGGGAGATCTCACTGTGGCCTTCCAGTACCTGAAGGGAGCTAATTAGCAGAGGGGAGACTGACTTCTGTACATGGTCTGGTAGTGATAGGACAAGGGGGAATGGCTTTAAATTAAAAGAGGAAAGATTTAGGTTGGATTTGAAGAAGAAATTCTTTACTCGGAAAATGGTGAGACCCTGGTACTGCTGACCAGGAAGCAATGGATGCTCCATGACTGGAGGTTCTCAAGGCCAAAATGGATGAGGTTCTGGGCACCACCTGATCCGGTGGGTGGACACCAGTTCATGACAGGGGAGTTGGAACTGGATGATCTAATTCATTCTATGATTCTGTAATTCTATGATCTTACTTCTACATCTTTCAAAGAAAAAGACCTCCAGAAAAAAAAAAAAAAAAAAAAAAAAAAGAAAGAAAGAAATAACAAAAAAGGGTTAAAAAAAAAAAAGAAATGGCTTCTTATTATTCAGAAGATGCTTTGTGCCCAGAATCTGTTTCTAGGGAAGTTTATAAATGCACTTTGCTCTACCAAAATGACCTTTACATGCCAACAGAAAAGAGTCTCTGCAAAACTACATGACATCAAACACATTTCCCATAAGCAAATTTGACCTCATCGCTGAAATGTCAGCAGGCAAATTGTTTGGAAGGATTGCTGATGGGCAAAGTCAAGTTTTGCTGCACCACAGTGCATGAAGTGCTCTAAGAGTTCATGCCACGTATGTTTATTTTTGAAAGGCTCCAACAATTTCTTTCATCTTGCTTGTATTCTTCCAGGAGTCTAAAAGATTGACACTCCCTAATCAGTGACTGATGGAACTTTGGAAATAATAATATCATCTAAATGTTATTTATACATAAAGATTATATTTAAGGCTAAATAAAACGTTTTTTAAATGACTCAATGATTTTTAAATGATTCTAAATGACTGAATACCTTTTTGCTAGTCTCATTTGCAATGCGACTCCTTTTTCCAGTGGTCAGGGACTAAGCCTCTGTCTGCAAATTGTGAAATATGTCAAGCATGGTGTAAATCTTAATTTCAAATGAATGTGACTTCTGTGAAAATCAGCCCTTAAAGGTTTTCATTTCTTCACTGCCTTATTATATATGTATATATATATTATATATGTATATATATTAAGAAATTATGGTGTTTCAATAAAATTATACTCTGGATAATCGGGAAAAATACTTTAGAAATGAATAAATTAAGGAATAAGAAGGAGCTTTTCTATAACTTCTCAGTATTGATATCCTGTATTATTATTCTTTGCACAAATATTTTATTCTTTTCCCACGGACAGTAATTGCTGTGCATTCCTCAAGAAGTTGAAAGGCAGACTCCGTTCCCAGAATCTGTCTGACTCACATTTTCACATCTCCCTATTCAGGAGTGTTACAACAATTTAAATCAGCTGAAAATGTAATCCAATCAACTTTTCAGTGCGGCAAGACAAAATATATACATCCATTCCTCAGTTTTAATTGCTGTTGTCTCTCATTGCAGTAATGTGGAAGCATCACAATGAGGAAAGTGAAAGGCACTTGCTTCCTCTGTATCTTTATTAAGATTTCTATATGTGTTGTTAAGGTAACCACTCTGAATCTGTGCAGTTCATAGCAGAAGTTATTTCCTGTGTGGAGTGACAAACATTCAGATACGAGCTGATAGAATGAAAAAAAAGCACAGTCCCAGAAAAAAAAAAAAAAAAAAAAAAAAAAAAAAAATTCCCACAGAAAAAAAAAAAATGGAGTAAGGAAGATTAACTCTGCCTTTCATTCTCTTAATGTTAAATTCAGCATAAAAAATGAAAATCTCAAGGCAAAAAATAATGACTTTACTACCTCTCTCGCTCACACACACACAAAGTGTACACAGACTTCTTGGTTTTCTTGTTGTTATTGTTGCTGTTGTTTCTTTTTCATGTTGGGGTTGTTGGGTTTTACCTATATTTTGGTGGGAGGATGTATCTCTCACCTTGGAAATAGTCTAGGTGTGGAATAATATTCTGCCAAAAATCTGTGTGTGCCCATTTGTCTCAGATGATTTCATATGAAGCAGAAGAAGAGGGGGGGAAAGGAAGGAGGAAGGGAGGAAGGGAGGAAGGGAGGAAGGGAGGAAGGGAGGAA